CCCTCCCTCTAGCAGTGATGCAAGAGTGTACCAGCCTCTCTCCCTTCTCCCCAGTGCAACAGACTTGTCATTCATTGTTTTCTATGCCAGTGCTAGAAACCAAAAGATAATGCATTTTCACTAGTATTTCTATTTGTACTTCGTTGTCTTCTCCTAGAAAACAGGGAAACATCCCATCTCTTCATTTCTCCACATGTCAGCTACTAATATCCATCATCTTTCTCAGAACCACGAGAAAGCAGGTTTCATGAAATAAAGCATGGAGAAAGTGAAATTTTATTTACTAGTATGTATTGCCTCTGCTCATTTTTCTTTGAAATACTGGCTTTAAAATATATATTTGTACATGCTTTTCTGTGTATGAGAAGTTTTGTGGAATGATGTTTGCCAAAATGTTACCACTGATTATTTCTGATAGCTTCATGTCGAAACAACAGTAACATCACCCAGGCATCAGGAATGTTGTAAAAATTGATGAGATTGCATTGAAGAAGCATTTTCAGTTCTTAGAGGTAAACAAAGACCCCATTTCTCAGAGGATTTATTTCGTTTTTAATTTTGTTTTGTTGCTTAAAGTATTGCAAAGAGTATTACATATGTCTCCTTCCCCCACCCCACCCCCTTGACATTCCCTCCGGCCTCCCCTACCCCGCAGTGTCTTATGTCCATTGGTTATGCTTATATGCATGCATACAAGTCCTTCAGCATAATGCTCTCCAGTTCCATCCATGCTATTGCAAATGGTAAGAATTCCTTCTTTTTCACAGCAGCATAGTATTCCATTGTGTAGATGTACCACAGTTTTCTAATCCATTCATCTGCTGATGGGCACTTAGGCTGTTTCCAAATCTTAGCTATTGTAAATTGTGCTGCTATGAACACAGGGGTGCATATATCCAGAGGATTTATTTCAATAGTTTATTTATTAAATTCCATGAGGCCGATGGGTACACATAAAGGTGCTCAACATTACTAATCACCAGGAAAATGCAAATAAAAACCACAATGAAATATCACCTCACACCTTTTATGATGGGTATCATCAAGAAGGCAAGAACCCGGTTGGTGTGGCTCAGTGGTTGAGTGTCAACCTCTGAACCAGCAAGTCACCGTTCAATTCCCTGTCGGGGCATATGCCCAAGTTGCAGGCTTGATCCCCAGTGTGGGGGATGCAGAAGGCAACCAAACAATGATTCTCTCTCATCATCAATGTTTCTATCACTCTCTCCCTCTCTCTTCCTTTCTGAAATAAATAAAAATATATTTAAAAAAAATAAGGCAAGAAATAACAAGTATTGGCTTGGATATGGGGAAAGGGAATTCTTGTGCATTGGTTGGAATGTAAATTGCCATAGCTATTATGGAAAACAATATATAGCTTCTTCAAAAAATTTTTAAAATAGCCTTGGCTGGTTTAACTCAGTGATTAGAGCATTGGCCCATGGACCTAAGGGTCAGAGGTCTGATTCCCTATCAAGGATAGGTACCTTGGTTGCACATTCCCCACCGCTGGTAGGGGTGCATGAGAGAGGCAGCCAATCAATGTGTCTCTCTCTAGTTGACCTCTCTATGTATCTATCTCTCCTCTTCCCCCACCCCGCTCCCTTCCCTCTACACTCTTTAGAAATCAATGGAAAAAATACCCTTTGGTGAGGATTAAAAATATATATTTTAATAGAACTACCAAAAGATCCAGCAATTCCACTTCTATGTATATGTCTAAAGGAAAGGAAATGAGGATCTCAAAGAGATATCTGCATCCCCATGTTTCATTCCAGCGTTACTCACAATAGCCAAGACATGGAAACAACCTAAGTGTTCATCAATGGATGAATGGATAAATAAGATGCGGTGTATGTATACAATTGAATGTTATTAGGCCATGAGAAAAAGGAAGCCCTGTTGTTTGTGACAACTTGGATGAAACTTGAGGGCATAATGCTAAGTAAAATAAGACAGAGAAAGATAAATACTGTATGGTAACACTTATATGTTAAATCTAAAAAGGCCAAACTCAGAGAAAAAGAGGTCAGATGTGGGGGCATGTTGGGGAGATATCGGTTAAAGGCTATAAACTTACAGTTATAGGATTAACAAGTGCTGGGGATATAATGTACAGCATGGTGATTATAGCTCATACTACTATATTATATACTTGAAAGTTGCTAAGAAAGTAGATATTAAATGTTCTCACACACCCCAAAAATTGTAATTATGTGACAGGATAGAGGTGGTAGCTAATGCTATGGTGGTAATAATTTTGCAATATAGAAATGTATCGAATTAATAGGTTGTATACATTAAACTTACAGCAATATGTCAATTATATCTCAATAAATCTGGGGGAAATGGTATGGCAAAATGACACCTTAGAAAAAGGAAAACCAAAAATTACCTACCCTCTCTTTTTAGCTAATTAATGTTGTTCACTTTGCCCAGCTGCAGTGACTCAGTGATTGAGTGTCAACCTATGAACCAGGAGGTCACAGTTCAATTCTGGTCAGGGCACATGCCCGGGTTGTAGGCTTGATCCCCAGTGGGGGGGAGGGGGGTGCAGGAGGCAGCTGATCAGTGATCCTCTCACTTCATTGATGTTTCTATCACTCTCCCTCTCCCTTCCTTTCTGAAATCAATAAAAATGTTTTATTTTGTTTGTTTAAAAAAAAGGTTGTTCACTTTTATTTATTAACTATGTTCCAGCACTATTTTAGCATTTTATAAACACTGCCTCATTTAATCATATGATATAAGGACTCATTATCCACATCTTGACAACTATCATTTTAACACATTTCCCTTTTTGGTCTAAAAAATTTTCCACTCAGTATGTGCTCCAAACAAATCTATATAAACCCTACTCATCCTCCCATTATATCTAGCATCTCTTTCATTTCATTTATAACCTAGGCTGCAATGAACATTCTTCTTTCCCAACAATTACACCAAAAAATCAACATACAGAGTGTCTGAAAATGTATACATACTTTAAATGATTATAAAGTCAATATTTATTAACATACAGTTCATTTTCAAAATGGAGTGAGTTATCAGCTGTTAAAGTATGTATACATTTTTGGGGATGTTCTATATATTACAGATGAAAAAATAGAGATGATGAAAAAGATTAGAATATTAAATTCATGCATTATCCTATTACTTATAGCCATTCTTTACTATATAGCCTTTCAGAAATTTTAATGCATGTAAATGTTTTATATTTCCTTTAAAAATATACTATGTATACAGTCATTAACTGGCTTTTCCACTTAAGATTATAGACTAAGCCCTGGCCAGCATTCTCAGTGGTTAGAGCATTGGCCTGGGCACCAGGTCTCTGGTTGATTCCAGTCTAGGGCACATACCTGGGTTGCAGGTCCATTCCCCGAGTGAGAGGCAATGATTCAATATGTCTCTGTCACATGGATGTTTCTCTTTCTCTCCCTCCTTCGCTCTCCCCTCCCTCCCTCCCTCCCTCTCCCCCCCTTTCCCTTCCACTCTCTCTAAAAATCAGTGGAAAAAATAACCTCATTTCTCGGATGAGGAATAAAAGAAAAAAAGATCATACACTGAACTTTTTCAAAGTAAATGAGAGTAAATGTTCATCAATGTTTTCAAGAGCCGAACAATGTTTCAATGTGTACACATATCCAAATTTATTTAATCAAGTGCCTCTTTGGAGACACTTGGCTCATTCACAATTTTTTACACTTCACACTTTCATACAAGCCAATTATTTGGTTATTTCCCAAGGATAAATTTTTTTATAATGATATTGGAAATAATACTTTATTCCAAGCCTGTGATTCAGAGGATCGTGTAAAGAAGTTACTCTAATCTAAAGGTCCCCGCACAGTGGAACACACCTGGTGACTCCAGATGACTGACAGGCCTGAGCAGCCACGCCTTAGGAGGCCTGCAGAGGGCATAGACCAGGTCTACAACAGCATCTGCTACAGTACCATCATGGGGGAGATTCTGGAACATTTCTTCATTTTTGTAGGGCTGCTAGTGTGCTTGGTCCACCAGATAAAGTGGGTGAGATTCTCCAAATGTATTTTTCTGCATCTTTTCCCTTTGAGAGCAAAAATGTAACTCTAAGGATAAATGTCTACCAGTGGAATTACTGGATCAAAGAGCATGCAAATCTTGAGGGCTTCTGAAACATGTGTCCAAGTGCACCTTGTACCGGTGTATGCTCCCACCAGCACACTTTGAGAGTGCCCCTCCCCTCACACTCTTACCACTCTCTAGGTTGGGAGAGAGGTGGAAAGTCTTCAATATGAATGCCAACAGCTCTCTCGATGGTTCCTGCCTCAACCAACCTTATAAAAGAAATCTGATAAAAGCACTAAAAATTATTATTTCTCCTATTACACTTTCTTATTTCAAAGTAGTAACTAATCCTTGCTCAGTGGTTAGAGTGTCAGCCCTCCTGCCAAAGTGTCTCTGGTTCGATTCCCTGTCAAGGGCACGTACCTGGGTTGCAGGTTCCATCCCTGGCCCCAGTCAGGGAGGCACCCGATTGATGTGTCTCTCTCACATCAATGTTCCTCTCTCTCCCTCTATCTCCCTCCCTACCAAAAGAAGAGGAAAAAAATAGTAACTAATGTATTCACGTGTATAAAAAACAGAATTGATCAAGAAAGAGTTCATTTTCCTATCAAATACCTCAAGACTAAAATAAAATTGTCCCTCCCTGTAGTCCCCAGAATAGGTCCCAGCACTTCTTCATTCAAAGGGTCTCTCACTTGCTTCCTCTCATCATTCCCATGACCAGCAGTGACATTTCAGACTTTCATCATCTTGTACTTGGACTATGGTGGTAACTTCCTAACTGGTGTGCCAATCTTCAGTGGCTGCTCCTGTCCCCTCCCCAACTCAGACCAATCCTGCACCAAAACAGCCACATTATTTCCTTTCATCCTGTCATTCCCAGGCACATGCCAACTCCATTCCTTTCTTCCCACCATTCCTTCCTTTTCCAATGCCCTTCTGTCCTGTTTTTATCCTATCCTTCAAGCCCAGCTTACTTAAGCTTCCTCTCCTCTGTAAAACTTTACCTAAGCACTGTTACCTGCAAAACTTTCTGCCACCTCTAAGCACTAATAGGAAGCAGCTGGCCATGATGAATGGCTCCTGGTTTTGTTAATAACTTTTTGTTTCCATACATCTTGCCTTCTCAAATACACAACAAACTTAAGAACATTATAAATTTCTCTTTTTTTGCTGGTTAAAACACATAACTTTATTGCTAAAACACAAGTCTAATATTAACAAATATAAACCAATACAAAAGTGTAGGTTATTTATGATTAGTTTGCTGTCACTTTAGATAAAGAGTAAAAATATCTCAATCTAGGTAGCAAGATGGAATCAACTAAGTGCTTTGTCTGTACAAGCTTTAGTATTCATTTGGCACCCTTAAAACGGTCCAGCCTAAAACCAACCATCACAGCCAGCATTACTGTTGATTTGTGATATTCATTGTTCCAAAATAGTGGCTGAAAGTATCTCTATGCCATATAAGCACAGTGAAAAACAAAGAATTTGCAAAATGTATTGTTCCCAAGTGCGAACTTAAAAACATATCTCAATTATTATTTCAGACAGACCTCCGATTAGAGTTTGGTCAATACTTTGAGAACTTTTACTTTCACCACCAGATCACTGTGGTTTGCTAATGCTTTGATTTTTTTTACACACACCCCAGATTCTTTAAATAAGAAAAAAAGTGAACTTCTGCTAAACTCTTTCTTGGACAATGCAAGCCCTTCGTTGTTTATGTTATCATTTAAATTCTCAAATAGGGTTAGGACATTAAGAAGAATCTCTCTGTCCCATTCTTTATTAAAGAGGGAAATCAATTCTGATGGTACTTTACAACTGACCAGCTCTCTTGTCATGGCTGGATTTTCAGTAAAGTTTATAAGTAGTTTCATAATCTGAATCTTGGTGAAGTAATTTCCCAGGAATAACAAAGCAAAAAAGTCTGGAAAAGAATAGGAAAGCAAATGTTGGTAATGATTAGTCACAGTCATGTTGGTTAGCAGTCTTAGTCCAGCCATCTGCACAGCTGAGTCCAAGCAACAAATCATGGTGTCATCACACACTTGACTGATATACGTCTTAATCTTGCCCTGATTTTCAGCATTCACACTCAAGTTATTAAGAGCATTGTAAGCCTTTTCTCTAATAATGGGATCTTTCGTTTTTATCAGTTTTGCAATAATTGGGAGACCACCCAATTCACGAATGGCATTTTGGTTAAATGAATATGCTGCATTGTTACCGAGAGTGACCAAGGCTACTTCTTGAATAAAAGGATCATTTGTTCTTTCTAGGATGTTAAGGACCTTTTGAAGGTCTGTAGTGCCTAAAATATCATCAATTTTATAGGGAAAGTTGAACTTGCCCCTGCGAACAGGCCATGTTGTAGCTGGAGTCCTGGTGCTCTTAGCTCGGACCTTTCCCTTGGACTTTCCACTTGCCCTGCTCCTAGCCCAAGCCCCACTCCTGGTGGGGTGGCAGCCTCCACCCCTGCCTCCTGGGCAGGGTAAACTCGATGCAAAAGTCCTAGTCCCAGAGATGGTACCCAACCTGACTCCTTTGCCTGTCTTTGCACTTGCCTGTTCCTTCAGCGTGCTGAAAAGGGCCTTGGCCTTGGCCTCTAGGCCACCTCCTCTCTGGGTTCCTGAGTGGACTCCCACTTTTATATCTGGACCACTCTTGCGTTCCATGCCCACTTCAGCTTTGGCTTTTGAGTCACCCTGAAATCTAGCTCTGCTCCCCACCACAGTATTAGCTCCTTTCTCAGCCTCCACCCCAATTTCTGTAATATCACTAGATTCCTCATCTTCGTCATCATCATTGTTGTTCCAGATTTTCTCACTGTCATTTCTTCCCCAGGTCAGTCTGTATAGGCAGTAGCAGGCACCAGCCCCTATTACTACGCCAGCAGCCACACAACCAGCCTCCCGAGCTCGACCCATACTGGAGCAAATGTCTAAGCCGAATGCCTGAGCCGAATTTTTAACCCAGGCAGAGCAGGCTTGCTGTGGCTCAGAATTATCTGAAGCCTGGATGGAATCTTTAGCTATAGCTGGCAGGCTCTTCAGCAACTGCAGATACAGCAGCACCTAGGAAAGAAGGAAAGGCTTGAGGCTTCAGTCTCCTCCTTTTATGCCTTTGCATGCAGACAGACTAAACTAGGGGCAGACAAAGGAATGGGGACATGACAGGGTCTCAGGGCTAGATCACTGATCCCTTTCTTACACAGGGAAGTTAATTTTGAAAAATTTCCCCACCTCCAGATTCTCCAACCTCATGGTCAATTTACCTCACCCCAGTTCATTCCATTTAAGGTATCTAATCAGTTCCCTACCTCCTCTGCCCTTCCAGGTGTCCTGGGTATAGTGGCACTTCCACATACACCCACACAGGTTCAGACAGTTTCTTCCTTTTCCTTCTTGCCTGGAAGTGCACTGTATTCTGCAAACCTGCATACATAAGGGATGGGGAGGGGATTGCTGAGAGCTTACCCAGGTCATAGGTACCTCTCTGGAATCCCTGGCCCTAGTAGGAGTAGAGCAGTATTTCCCACCTAGTTATGCTCCTCTCCTCACAGTGCTTTGAAATTCATTAGCTCACCCCCTGGCCTCCTCTGATCTCTGATCTCCTCCAATCCTCCACCCCACCCCCACCCCTGAAAATCACTTCCTCCAAAGGTGATACCACACATTCCTTTCCCTAACAAAATCAATGGGGGTGGATTGAGAATGTCTAGAAGTCAGACAGGGGTAAAATGAATAAAAGTCTGGAATTTCACCCTTGCCTCCGCTACCCCCACCATCTCAAAGGTACCAAGACACTCCTATTCAACCCATTATGCCAATTTCACTGTTCCAGAGGAATTTCCTTCATCCCTCAACTCAGTTTTTGCCTCCACCAAACCTAAGGACTAACAGCTCTGGGACTGAGTGCGTGATGGGCAGACCAATATCAATTACTTTTTGTACTCCAAAAAGTAATTTGGAAAAAGGTCTTCCCTACCCCCACCCCAGAATTCTTGTGACACCCTCCCCCTTCCAGCCACTTCTTTCTCAGTTTTATACCAGCAGAGAACTTTCTTTTGTAAATTCTGAAATGGTATAAAGAGGTAGAAAGGAGGGGGATGCAGAGGAGGCCCACTGGAGTTTGCAGTCTCCACCATTCTCCACTTCAAGAGCCCCCAAACAGTGCCAGCATCCTCATTCTGACCTACTTGTTCCTGGGCAATGTTCCTCTTCTTCCTGCTTCTGGGTCGGATTGGCCTTCAGGCACAGCAAGATCCACAGACGCAGACTGGCGACTTGGCAGAGATGGATGGCTAGCAGACAGAACAGCACTTCAGAAAGTCCCAATACCAGCTTTTACAAATTCCAGGTCCTGGTAGTCAAATAGATTTTAACTTCTGTTTTCTCATCCTACCCCCACTTCTCAGGATCTCTCAGACATCAGCCCTCTTCCTGCATGACGTCCACCCACGTCCTGCCCCAGCCCCCCGCTCTACTCCCATCAGATGGCCATTTTCCCAGCAAAAACCACACCCCTTTGAAACAACTGGAAAGAAGGCGGGGGAGGAAGTACGGAAAACAGGCGGAAAGACCATTCCCCTCCCTGATGCATTCCCACCCCTCCCCCCTAAAGACACCAATTTTTACGAAAGGCTGTCACATCCTTTTTTTCTACATATATAATAGCAGGGAGATAGCTGGAGAGTCATTAATGAGCCCAAGATAAGGGAGGACTTCAGCCATCCCCCCTCTTCCCGTGGACGCCGGGGCAATCCCGTCTTTACACTGACATGCAGGAGTTCCGGGCAGATTCTTTGTTCCTTTGCTCCGAGTGATACAGCGCCCCACTGAAAGACACGCGAAAAGACAAATAGTCAGACAGCCCCACAGCCCCAAGATCCTGGATTGGTAGATGGTCCGGAATTCTAATACACTGTCCTCCCCGATTCAGGGCCCTGGATGTTAAAGGTTTCTCCCCTCCTGCGCTGGGGTCTCCCTTGTAATACAGCCCTCAACATCGACCATTTTGATTCTTGGAAGGGCAGGGGTTTAGAAAGCACGCTGGTCCCTTTCCGGTGGAATCCACCCTCCCTAACCCACACCGCAGGGATCCCCCAGGCAGCGACCATCCCCTTAGACCTGCAGGGATCGGGTCAGTTACCTCCTCCTCCTTCCCTAGCCACAGGCCCGCCCGCCCGATGGGGAATAGGCAGATGGCAAACGACCAAATGAAGACGAAGATTAGAAGGACGTCTAAAACGTCTAAACGCGTAAGCTTCTGCTCACGTGAGGGTCACGTCATCCGTGAGCTCAAGACCCCAATTACCACTCCCACCGGCAGGCAGTGCAGCTGGAGCTGGCCCACCCCTTTCCTCCCCTGACCATATCAGGTCCTGCCACTCATTTTCCTCTGCCAATCCTAGAAACCAGGAATAGCTTCTCTTTGTGGTTGCAATTTGCCTTTCTTTAGTTTACAGAGAGAGACTGCATCTGTTCCCAAGATCATGGATCTTTTCTTTCTCTTAGAGGGATAATTTTTTCCCCTTATCCCTCTCCAACCATCTCTCCCTCCCTTCACCACCCACCCTCAGCCATGAGGATCCAGCATTTCTCCTGCACCCCTATACAAAATGGAAGAAAAATCTCAGAAAAGGATATAGGTAATGGGAGTGTTTTACTTCCTTAAACTTTTCTGTTCATTTTTTTTATAAATCAATACTGCATTACTTTTATATTGAAAAAATAAAATGATGCTATTTTCATTTGAGTGGAGAATAATTTAAGTGGAAGACCAAAAGGTCTCATTAATTTCATTATATTTATTTATAACACAAGGTAACTGTTTCTATCGGTTATAGCCAAATAGGAACTTTCAAAAGGTATTTTAAAATCTATAACGGGAATTTTCACACGATTTATTAATTAGTCCACAAGGAGAGGACTAGTCCTCTGATCTTGCCCATTTGATGCAAATGATTTATTACTTTTTCTATTTTTGGATCAACTTGCAAATTGATAACACAAAAGCAGCACAATCCTGTCTTGTTTGTTTTTTAAAAAGACATGCATTTAATGTCCCAGAGTCTTGGTTAACTGCTATGTGAACCACTTATAATTCGATGGCTGTTCTGAACACCTGCCCCTGGATTAGATTCAAGTCTACTAAGGTGGATGCAGGTGAGAGTGTAAGGGATGCAGAACTGGTGCCTTCCTACCTGCCTTGTCAAGAGGTGAGGGATAAAGGTGTTGTCCTCTGATCCCCTCCCATATTCCATAGCTTCTCATCCCCCACAGTCAGGCAAATGACTCTGTTGCTCAATCTAAAGGTATACATGGACAGGTGACCAAGGTGGTAAATGCCACCTTTACTCAGATGACCAACCTGACCTAAGTGAATGTATTTGCCTTCTTCCCTCCCTAGCTCCCTTACATTCCCACAAAGGTACTCAGGGATGCATAGGAGGGATTGTTGGTCACACCTCCCTGCAGCTGTGGGTTTCCAAAAAGCCTGGAGAAGTGATTGCTGGGGAAGCACTCAAGTCTGCCTGCTCTGGCCTCATTCACAACACTTAAGTCTTCTCATACCACCTGGCCTGAGAGGTTCAGCCTGCTGGGCCTCTGATGTATAGCCTCCTCACTGCAGGGTCCTCAGTGAGGTAGGATCATGTCCTGCAATCCACTCCCAACTTGGTGCCCCCTGAACTAAATGTATGCCTGGACTGAATGGACTCTCCTCCTCAACATACCTAGAGTAGGCATTCTTAACTGGCCAACTCTGTGAAAATTTTATCAAAATTATGCAAGTACATGTGTTCATTTTAGTGGGGAGAAGGTTTGTAGGTCTCATCAGATTCTCACAGGCATCTGTGACTTAAAAAATAATTCAGAACTTCTTTACTAGGGGAAAAAAGATAAATTCCCTCAATAGAAATTTCTCAAATCCCTCTCTCTCTCTCTCTCTCTCTCTCTCTGTGTGTGTGTGTGTGTCTCCCTCCCATCTCCCCACACTCCATATTTTTTAAATGTGTGAACAATGCAGAATGTATAAAGTAGAATGTGGAAGTGTGTCAAGTTCCAAGTTGAAGAACACTGCAGAACAAAATGGTTGACATCTAGTGACTAAAGTGTAATGAATATGCACTTTAACTTGAGAACTGACATCTTTAAAAATTGAGTCTTTCTATCCATGTTGACATTACGATCTTCAATAAATTTTGTGTTTATTCAGGGAAGTCATACTTATTACTTGTTAAGCTTATTCCTAGGTATGTTATTGTTTTGTTGTTTTGGGGGATGACATTTCTTTTACGAGTATATTTTCTACCAGGTTATTGCTTGTCTCTGGAAAATATTGATATGTTTATTTTTAGTGATCTTTCTTAATTTTTCTAATGATTTTTCAGTTGATGGCTTTGGTTTACCTAGGTATGCATAGAGAATCATCTGCAAGTGATGATTTTTTTCTTTTTTTATATATTGTATTGATTTTTTTACAGAGATGAAGGGCGAGGGATAGAGAGCTAGAAACATCGATGAGAGAGAAGCATCTATCAGCTGCCTCCTGCACACCCCCTACTGGGGATGTGCCTGCAACCAAGGTACATGCCCTTGACTGGAATCGAACCTGGGACCCTTCAGTCCCCAGGCCAATGCTCTATCCAATGAGCCAAACCAACTAGGGCCAAATGATGATTTTTAATTTTTCCAGTATTTATATATTTTACTCTATTATTTTCTGGATGTAGCACATTGACCAGAACCTCTAGAACTATGTTGAATAATAGTGGCAATTAAGGGTCTCCTGATCTCATTCTTGAAGTAAATGGGAACACCCTTAATATTTCACCAGTGAATGTGACATTTGCTATTTGATTCTCACTTGTCGATCTGTGATTGATGGGGGATGTCTAAAAGCTACACTTTTTATGGTTTCCTGTCTTACATTTAAGTCCTTTATCCATTTTGAGTTTATTTTTGTGTATGGTGTAAGTTGGTGGTCTAGTTTCATTTTCTTGCATATATCTGTCCAATTTTCCCAGCACCATTTATTGAAGAGACTATCTTGGCTCCATTGTATGTTCTTGCCTCCTTTGTCAAATATTAATTGAGCAGATTGGTTTGGCTGATTTCTGGATTTTCTATTTTATTCCATTGATCTATATGTCTGTTCCTCGGCCAATACCAGGCAGTTTTGAGAACAGTGGCTTTGTAATACATCTTGATATCTGGTATTGAGATCCCACCTACTTTGTTCTTTTTCAGTATTGCTTTAGTTATTCGGGGTCTTGGATTGCTGCAGCTATTCTGGGTCTTTTTTTATTCCAGATGAATTTTTGGAGAGTTCGTTCTAGGTCTGTGAAAAATGCCGTTGGTATTTTATAATGGGAAGCGTTGAATTTATAGATTGCTTTGGGTAGTATGGACATTTTAATGATGTTGATTCTACCAATCCATGAACACGGTATGTTCTTCCATCTGTTTATGTCTTCCTCTATATCTTTTTTCAACGCGT